TTTCTCTCTAAAAGATGTCAGACTGATTACACTGACCTTTGAAACAGTGTTCTGAATTAACGTTTTTTGGAATGAAAGAGTTTTGACTGTCCTTTATTCAAGAACATACAACTCGGTAAATAACAGAAAACAACAGCAGAAAGCACTGCATAGTTTGCCTACCTGAAGGCCCTTATTGTTGCTAAGCCTCCCATTGATTCAGCAAAATGTGCAAAAATAGGGGATTTGGATAAATTGTCTAATCTCATGAGTTCCCTTAAAGAAAAAAAAAAGAAATCTGAATAGCACTATGCAATACACACAACTAAGTGACAATCAAACTGAATATTCAGTAAAATTTAGAAAAAAATGTCAATTTTTCTTTGTTTAATCAGTAAAATTTAGAAAAAATGTCCATTTTTTTTTTTTTTTTTTGCTTAATCAGTAATTCAATCTATGACGTAGAATTGGTTATGATAGCACAATAATCGAATCTGTTGATAAATAAATAAACAGACAGGTTAATGGATTGAGAATTTATAATAATTGGGTTTTCTCACCGCATGTTGTCATCAAAAGAACACTTAGCAATTTAATTATGAATATGAGCCTAATGCTTTGAAGAAAACATGGAGAGGCTAATAAATTTAAGGTGTCTCTACATTACACCCTACATTCACAAATATCAAAATGTACAAATCTACAAAACCATACAAAACAAATAACACACCTTGCTGATACCCTAAAGAACCTCTGTATTACACAGTAGATCAACACCAAGGGAGCAACTGCAATTAAGAAATATGGTGTTGCCAAAGAGATGGCTACTATAGCCGCAATACAGGTTAAGATCTGTGTCAGGACGTTACTGATATAAAAAGAGATAATCTGAAATAAATGAAAGGATATTATATAACACTGAAGAAATGTGAATTATTTGATATCAGCAGTATTGTATAAGTGGAAAGCACTTGTTTCCTAATAAGTCTACTGAATAACAAGCTATAGAAAATCACTCATTACTCTTATCACTAATACAGAACTCTCATCATGTGGAGAAAGTAAATTAAATCTTGTTCTAAGAAACGGTCATCATTTATTGTATAACAACACATGTATATTCATTTGATCAATACAGTGTACTTGATTACACTACCTGATCTAGCTGATATGTGTCTGCAGCAAATCTGCTCATAATCCTGCCAATGGGAGTAGTATCAAAAAACCTGTAAGAACAAGGGATATAACAAAACATACATACTGATGAGATCTTTCTGTCTCAGTCTCAGATGAGGTACTGAATACTAAAATATTGAACTATTTTTGACAGTATATTATGAAGATTATCAATAAAATAACAGACAATAATCAAGTTGTCCTGCAATAAAGTCAAAAATTTCATGAATTAAATTTAATCGGAAGTGTGTGTGCGTGCGTGCACGTGTGTGTGAGAGAGAGAGAACGACAACAAGTCTACGTCTGCATCTCTTCTGTAGTAATATTACCAAGTGTGTATGCATGAGTGTACCTGTGTCTTGTGTATCATCAAATATTACAAACAATATATATACCTACCTTAATGGAGCTAAGATGAGATTGCGTAACATGGACTGATGCAGATTTCTTGCTGCATACAAGATTGTGAGTTCCACAGTGAGTGATGCAAATAGCACAATAATAATACTGACTGCAGATAGGATGGCATACACCATGACATAGTACATGACATCCCTATCTGTTTCGCCCTAAAAAGATTAAAAGTAATTACATCTGAGTTTCAGTCCACCAATGCAGTACAAATACAAGGCATTGTTGCTGTAACTTTGACGGTGAAGCATCTCTCCTATAACCACTATGGTATCATCTTCAAGGGATGGCACACAATTGTGAAAATGACAGATTAATATTTTTTCCACATGTTACATTTTGATTCTGCCCATTAGGTACACTCAGAATCTATCAGTCATTTTCCATGCAGTACCAAAGTTACTTTGCCAAGTACCCACAAATATACTTACTGTGGAAGTGGGAGAGCTTGACTGATTGTCACCAGGTAGCACCAAAACATTGGGCTCTACTGAGGCCTGGTACCTCAATATATTGTCTCTGCTTAAGTTTTTGGAAACTAGTGAGTTATTCATCTGGTCACCAGCCGCTGCCCATTCTGCTAGCCAAAGGTCAGTGGCCAATCGTAAGCCCTGCTGTAAAATTTTCAGTAGAAGAACTAGAACTGAAAGGCCCCATGAGCAGGCACTAAAAAAGGCAAGGTGGGTTTTCAGTTTGATTGATCCAGTTTCTTTCTCTTCCTCATCTATCAGTTTGCCTTGTTTGCGCATCAAGGGTTCTTTGGCATCTGAAAGAAGTTTTTTCTTTTTTTTAGAATTAAGAACCAAACATGTTTTCTTCATTATTGGCCATGGGATCAGCAAAATGCAAGCTGATGTACAATATCAGGAATTTACAAAAACATACATGACATACTTTTCTGAATGCTCGTAACGAATTTCAGAAAAAAAAATTTCACCAGGAGGAGGCGTGTTAGTCTGTTAATCTCATTGAATTCAGCAAGAGTATCCCAGAGTTGGATCGATCTATGTGGAACAACAGTTCATTGGGAATGAGCCCCAAGCCTGCTGCAATCTTCAACAGGTACCCACCCTTCTCTTCTTCGACACATATCTCTGCCAACGGTTCTAACTCTAGACTTGATGTGCTACCAGACACTCTTTTGGCTGCCTCTCCAAGGTCCTCTCCATAAGTATCCGTAGCAACCATACCAGATAGAGGTACAAAGGCACCTAGCATGTCTATACCTGAGCTTCGAGAAGCACTGACGGGCTGACTAGCATCCGTTTGCTCTAACTGAATAGAAAAAAGATGGCACCGAGATGGAGTAAAATATCTTCAAGGAGTTTTCATATCTTTGTGTTACTGCAGTTATAGCAATATCTTCAGATACTGACCAGGGGTAATATGTTTATTATAGAAAATGGTGGGAGACTGGAATATAAACTTTATGTACTGTGTTTATGAATTTTCTAGTTGAATATGTAATGTGTGTTATGAGAGGGATGGACAGGTGAACCAACTCATACATTTAAAACAATTTTCATTATTCTACATTCACATATTCTTTAATTCTTTAATTGACACATAGAACCTACCCCCTCTTAAGAAAAAAAAATAAGTACAACACATTTTTGTTATAAACATAAAGTAAGGGCAGGGAGAACACAACATAATAAGGCATGTACTTTGTATCATACCTGTAAAGTAGGTTTCGTTAATCTCTGTACATCTGGAGCACCTTCCTCAGTTGTAGTTTCATCTTCAGCCCTAAATGGACAAAATTAAAAATAATTCTTTAAAAAATTTTCTTATAAAAAACCAACACAGAATTTTTTGTTTTATATATAAACAATGTTGTACAATCATATTTGCACCGATTTCAAATTACTGATCCCCATGAAATTCAAATTTAAATTGTTTTTCAAAATTCAGTAAATTGTTTGACATTGCAATATACACCATGATGTAAGATTTTTAATTATAATAATTGTAATATCATTTAGTAACAGTTATTTTCAATCAAATGCATGTTATGCAAGGCAACAAACAATAGTAACAACACATTTTCCACTGGCATAAGAATTTTCTTGAAAATATAATACTGAAGTGATCAAGCTGGTTGGCAAGGGATCCTAAAAACATTGTCATCTCATCAAGTACTGGACAACTTCTATGCAGTTTTTTTGTTGTTGTTGTTGTTTTGTACCCAGAAACTAATCAATATCTTATAGCCTATTATGGCCTCTAAGACTTGTTTTGAATGTATGCTATAGGGATTTTGACACCAGAGGTTTGGATTAGTTGAACTGGTGACCGTGTGAATAATCCTCTTTGTGCAGGGGCAAAAACATTCATCAGCTCGGTATAGATGTAGTCAAAAGGCCCTAATTTATACAAGAGTAAGATCG